GCAGCATACAGATCAGAGACAGAGCAAGACTGAGTTACAGACCTATAAATTAGGATTCAGCAACAGGTTTGCAGAACTTGACAGACCAGCATGCCAACACCAGAGATGTAATGCTTTCATAGAACTACCATGGACCCCCCAAACACTTTCTAACCTGCCTCAAATTGAAGACAAAATCATGCACTGAATAATGTAAATCTGAAAGATGTGGTTTTACCCAAAAAGCAATCCTGTGCTTGATTAGATCACAGAGGTCCTCCAGATTTGGGATGGTTGCCCTAAACAGACACTCGTTTCTGCACTTCCAGATTGACCACATCACCACCAATGGTATTGCTCTCCAAATCTTCTTTTCTATCTTCCTCCACTTCCCTCCAGCCCACCACAGGAGGAGGTTCTCCACAGAGCCTGGAATAACAGCTTGGACATCCCACCAGTTTAGCATTTCAGCCCATATCTTCCACACAAAGGGACACCAAAGTAGTACATGATTCACTGATTCACCCTCACTACCACAGAATACACAAGCTGTAGATATACCCTGGTTAATCACACCCAGCTTCAGTAAGAACTTCTTGGTCTTCAATCTCTTTTTCCATGCAAACCAACCAAAGACCTGCACCTTAGGAGGGATACACTTGAGCCATATCAGCCTAGTTATGCTCAGAGAGACTCCAGCAGTGGCCACAACAAACTTATACAAATCTGATGACATCAAACTCCCAGAAGAAGAGGCTGCCCAGACAGGCTAGTCAGGGCACTCTGGACACAGCTCTGGGGCTGCCAGGAGCATAGTAACTAATCTGTCCAGCTCCAGCTTCTCCCAATCATACAGTTTCCTTCTAAAGACCAGGGACCAGCCACCTGCTGTAATTTTCTTGTCAACCATAACATTCAAAGACTCCTGTTTGTCCAAAGACAACCTAAACAGTGTTGGGAATTCATCCTTCAAGCACACAGAATGGCACCATATATCAGTCCAAAAACAGATCCTCACCTCATCCCCTACCTTCAAGTGAAAATTATTCAGATAAAACTCCTTCAAGCTAGTACACTGTTCAGCAACAAAGATGATCCCCTTCCACACTGCTGAGTGAGTCATGGATAGGGTGAGAGACGGAATCCAACCACCCGCCTCCATCTTATATTTGCTGCATATAACTCTTTTCCATAAAGCATCATTTTCCTTACCAAACCTCCACTACCATTTAATAAGTAGACAGTTATTTGCAACCCTCAACTACCTAATACCCAAACCACCTTGATCCACTCTTTTAGATAACTCCTCCCATTTGATCATATGGATTTTCCTCCCCTGTTCAGAACCACCCCATAAGAATTTAGCTTGAATCTTATCCAATTCTGAAGCAACCCCTTCAAGCATCTTGAATAAAGATAAGTAATATACTGGCAAGGCTGAAGTTACTGATTTAATCAATATGAGTCTCCCCGCAAAAGACAACATCTTCCTTTTCCACCCAGCCAGCTTGCTTTTGACTTTGTCCACAACTGGTTTCCAAGTAGCCTTCTTTCTTGGATTAGCACCTAAGGGCAACCCTAAATAGCTAATTGGCAATGATTTAGTTTCGCAATTCAAAATTGTGGCCATATCATTCAACATCTCCACAGAGACACCCACCCCACAAACAACGCTCTTGTGAAAATTTATTTTTAGGCCAGATAAGACTTCGAAACATCTTAGCACCCTCTTTAATTTTCTTACCTCCTCCACCTCTGCTTCACAGAACAAGAGTGAATCGTCTGCAAACTGTAAATGAGTCAACAACACTCCCTCACGGCCTACCTTCACCCCTTTAATTAGGTTTAACCCACAAGCTCTGCTCAACAAACGATGCAAGCCTTCTGCAACTAGATTAAACATAAAGGGAGATAGCGGATCACCTTGTCTTAGGCCCCTTTGGGGGCTAAACTCTTCAGTAGGAGATCCATTAACAAGCACTGAAACTCTTGTCGTAGTTACACACTCCTTCATCCAGTTGATCCACTTTGCACCAAAACCGAACTTAGACAGCATAGAGAATAGAAAACCCCAATTAATGGAATCATATGCCTTTTCAAAATCCAACTTAATAAGGACTCCCTTCCTCTTGGCTTTCTTCCAGCCTTCAACAACCTCATTTGCAATTAGCACACCATCTAAAATATTTCTACCACTAAGAAACGCAGACTGAGGCTCACTAATAATATGTGGCATAACAGATTTTAGTCTATTTGCCAAAAGTTTTGCTATGATTTTGAAGAGTGAGCCCACCAAACTTATGGGTCTATAGTCAGAAAGCCTAGAAGGATTGTCCCGCTTGGGGATAAGGGTTATAAAGGAACTGTTAATGCCTTTTACCAATCTGCCATTCCTATGAAATTCATTCACAAAAGTAACAACCTCACCCTTCATGACCTTCCAAAACTTCTGAAAACACAACATATTAAAGCCATCAGGTTCGGGTGCTTTATTATCATCACACTCCATCACTACTAGTTTAATCTCTGCTTCTAAAAATTCTGTTTCTAACAGATCAAACCTCACTCTACCATCTGCTGATGGGAAATGACCCCCCAATTCAGGTCTTTCTGGCCAGAGTTCCGTATACTGGTTTTTAAAGTATTCCAGCACCTTGTTCTTCACTTGCTTCGGCTCTTCATACACCACGTCCCCTTCTGTAATGGAATGTAATTCATTTCTTATTGTTCTGCACTTTGTGACCACATGGAAGAACCTTGTATTCTTGTCCCCTTTCATCGCCCAGTTAAGCCTAGACTTTTGCAGCCATAGCCACTCCACCATCCTACTCAAACTCCACATTTCAGCTCTAACTTCACATCTCCTGCCTTTTTCATCATCATCAAGGTCTCTAGCCTCAGCCAGTAGATCAATTTTGTGAAGTTCACCCTCTACAGTCTTCAATTTGTTTACAATATTACCAAAAACCTCCACATTCTAGCTTCTCAGGCCACTTTTCAAGATCTTCAACTTCTGAATAAGAATAAACCCAGCCCAACCTTCAACCCTGGACTCCTTCCACTTTAACTCCCAGAAGCTCCGAAAATTTTTATGCAAAAACCAAGCATTCAAGACCCTAAAGGGCTTTGGACCCCAGTCTCTCTCATCCTCCATCATAAGAAGAAGGCAGTGATCAGAGACCAGTCTTGGTAAACCCCATAGCTTCAGGTTAAATATCTCAAGCCATTTAGGATCTACAAAAATTCGATCAATTTTGCTCTACTTTTCCCCAGCAAATGAATTACACCAAGTGAATCTCCTCCCAAGTAGTGGTAAATCAGATACCTCACATTTTTCAATGAACTCATTAAATTCTTTCATGCCCCTATCTCTCCTAGAGCATCCTCTATTATCCTCAATCTGCCTAATCTCATTGAAATCTCCTCCTAAGCACCAAGGATTTCGGAATTCCTCCTTCAATTTCAATAGACAGTCCCACAGAAGCCCTCTTGAGCCCACATCATTAGGAGCATAAATATTTAAAATAGCACAATTAAATTGGTTAAAGATGGTACCTGATATTGAAAAATCTTCTATTGCTACAACATTCTGTTAGTTGGAAGACATCTGGGTCCCATATGCACAGTAATCCCCCAGTAGAGCCCACAGCATCCACCACCATAAACTCCATTTTGTCTTGGAGCCACATAGATCTAACTTCATCCTCTGTTAATTCTGCCTTTTTAGTTTCTTGGAATAACACAATATCTATATTCCTCTCCTTCAGGAGCTTCTTAACTTTGCCTCTTTTCTCCTTCCTCCCCAACCCTCCAACATTCCATGAATGAATCTTCATAAATAACCATGAGAACTCTAATACATCCCCCCAGCTGGTGTCCATCAGACCCCATCTCGAACCTCCCCTTCAATTTGTTCCTTGTCCTTCAATTCAAGGTTCACAATTTTCTCCAACACAGCAGCTCGCTTACCATTGAACTGCACACTAAGAACTTCCCCCATCTTGAGAGTTTCTTCAGCTTCATTGAGGGCGGACCTCCCCTTAACAGTTCCACCCTCCATTGATGCAGATGAGGACCTTGCCGCCACTGCTGCCCGCCATACTGCAGCCCTGGGCATTGCTCTACTGGTTGAAGCCCCTTTGCTCCCATACTTCCTTAACAGGTCGAAGGACTTTTTCCCTAGAAAAGTGTGGTTTGATTTTCTCCTACTTCTTGTCTTCTCCTTCCCTTGTGTAGGCCTTGAAAGACTGCTACTGGGCTCCTGGTCATGGGCCTCAGAAAGGCTTGACACTCTCCCATCTAGCCCACCCACAACAGCCTTCTCTGTAGTAATTAACTCCGGGGGTCCAAGACTGGAGCCTCATCCGATCCATAACATTCATGGGTCGATTTCAAATCCACAATTAACTTAAGCCCACAGTCCATGTTATCAAGCCCAGATAGAGTTTTAATCAATCCAGAAGTTTGAATTCCAACTTCACCATCATCAACGGCTCTCCTCTTGGGACTCGCCAACAGTCTTGCAGAACTCTCCTGACATACGTAGCCGATTTCTTCTGACATGCCTTTCTGCAGATCTGATTCAGCCACCATCGAAGTGTCTCTGAGCTGGTCATCTTCCACCATGGTGTTGCTACTATCGTGCGCTTGCACTGTTACATGATCAACTCCTTCTTTATGCTTGCTCCCTCTATCTACCATCTGATTGCCCACTGCTGCAAGAGTACTATTTCTGATTCCACCAAGATGTTCTTCAGATGAATGGCTGAGACCGGGCATCTTCATATCTTGGATGATAATGATTTGTTCCTCGCACACCCTAACTGGGTAAAGGACGCCCTTGCATTCTAATCTGAGTAATTGATTAATAGGATCCATAAAGTTTGTCGCAATCTGCACTTTTCCACATTGGAAATTATTTAAATTACGAGTATCCTCATCCAGAGCAGTCACCATACCCCACATCTTACCAATGTTAATGAGGGTGTTGCAACTCCAAAGATTTAGTGGAACTCCATAGCAACTGAGCCAAACCTTCCTCTCTTGGGTAATTGACATCCCCTGTTTCCATTCAAGAACTGAATCACACCATTCATCTAGCCAGCTCTTCATTAACAGAAGTTTTTCCTTCATAATTTCCTGAGATTGAAATGTTATGACCAAATCTCTTCCACCACCTACCCTTACTTGAACTTCCCTTAGATCTCTTCTTGCTAGTTCTTCCTTGAAGTCTTCCACAGCGTAGATTGGTTTCAACCTGGCTATGACATTCTCATATAACCATCCATTACCTTCCTCATAGGCTTTGATAATGCAGGAGGAGTTATAACCTGATGCATTGCCACTCACCACCTCCGCAAAAGATCTCATACCTTGGTGACCCACATGCGTTCTGTTTAGTTCCCCTGCATACTTTCTAGGCTGCACTGATGGACTAGCCTGCTGTTTCATAGCATCTTCCTTACCATAATCTGCTTTTTTAACCTTCAAAGCTTTATCATCACACCAGAGCCCATTGGCTTTTTGAACAGCCATATCCGCTGCAACAGGACACCTGTATCCTTTAGCTCGCATGGTTTCGGGTAGATTATCCACAAAAACAGAGTGGATAGATCCATTCGTCCAGCTATTCCGGCCTCCTCTTCCGCTATGTCTTCGAACCACCGGCTGTCATCCTCTATTGTTTTGCTTGACCATTATATATTCTAAACTTTAAACAACACACTCTCTCCACTA